CAAGATGATCTCAGAATCTTGACAGATATCGATAAATCTGCATAAGATCTTGAAAGAACTGAACAGAAACTTCCGAAATCTTTCAAGTTTTTATCAAGATCTGCAGTCAAGATTTTTTACTTGGGTTCAGTGGATCACTTAGCCTTGTAGCAAATCAAAAATAAAGGTAACCTTTTGGAGCCAGCTATAGCAATGAAAGTTACTTTCTTAAATCAGTATAGAGATTACCAATCACCTAATTTTAGTTTGAATGACTTTTTGTTCTATAGGAAAAGGAAATCGTTTTGTTGACGCCTGCCTTCTCACAATGATTGGTATTCAAGATAGTCCATTAACTATCCGTAAACGTTAATCTGATTACATTAAATTAAATGAAATAGCATTACATGATCGGTGGAGAGATACAGCGATATCGTCTGAACAAAAACGACGATTGAACATTGATTTAAATGATAATCCACTTGATCAAGTAAGCCAGAAATAATTATGTGTATAAAAATCATTCAGAATACTTCTTTTTGCGAAACAACAATTGGATGTTCGTTAATTTTATATCGTTATTAACTACTGAAAAAAGTATGATGCAAAATCTGAGAATATGTATTTCCTCCAGGACAGTATATGTTCAGCATTAGTATACATGAAATTGTTTTCTGCTGGCTAATCAGAACGCCGTCAAATTTTTCTACATCGGATAATTTGGCATATTTTTGGCTAAAAAAAGATGTCTATCAAGGGCTAAATTGTCAGGAAAGTCTTTGAAAAAAGGAGCAGGCGAAGTCACAATTTTTTTGTACAAAAAATTTATTAATAAATAAAAACAAACTAAATGCTAGTATGGCGTGGATCAATTTGAAAACGTTTGAAGGCGGATTTATAATCATTTTAGGAATGGAAAGCATTGTTAAAGAAGCGGAAGTAATAACTCATGGTAAATGTGCATTTTTACAATCATACCATATTTTTGCTGTTTCATATATAATTAACATGCATTTGTCGCAAGGTTGCTAGAATTCTATCTGTTCTCATCTGTACTGAGTTGATTTCTTTGATATCATTACAGTAAATGAGAAGCAAGCTCAGTTTAATGGTATAATTGGTATTTATCTACCATTATTGTTTTCCGCGAACATTACATTATTCAATTATTCTTGATTATGCTGCTACTCATTTCACAACGTTAGGTAAATTTAAATAAAATATTATGGAAAGTGCGACTGTAGACCAAAATCTTTAGCATGAAAGTGAAGCAATTAAGGGGTCTCGAAGTCAACACTTGTTTACAATGAATTATATATCTGTATAATTTTATTTTTTCTGTAGTTACGTTAAAGTCCTCAATCTTGTCGCCGTCGTTATGTTGTCGAGTACCACTATCATTTTTATCCAGTTTATTCTCCTCCTTTCAATCTTTACCAGTCCATTATATCAATTACGTTGAACAGATGAGCGTTCCACATTTATTAGCAAAATATTTAGTTATTGAAGAGATTAAATTATCTGAAGGACAAATGGTTAAATGTCGTGCATTAAATGAACAAACGCTACCAGAGGATATTAATGTTTAAATAAATATATAAATTATGCGTGGCCGATTATCCCTATCTCATTTTAGAACCACGCAAGATCAACTGACCGAAATCGAGGCTCTCGGAAAAATGCTTATAGCTTTTAAATCGTAAGAGAGAGAGTTAAGACTGATCTAGAATTGTAGATCTCGGTTCGGGCTATCGATTGCACTGTTTGAAAGTCAAAACCCAGCGTACGGTCCAGGAACGGCGATCTCGTAGACTTTGCATCAAAAGGCGTACCATGTAAACGGCTGTGTCCTTTATTATTTTCCCTAATTACTGAACCTTTTTTATTATTTAAGGAAATGGATATTGGCACTAAGAACGATTGTGTGTTTAAAGTTGGTGATGTATTTAATTCTTTTAATGAATTTAAATATAAATTAAATGATTATTCAACAAATACCGGAGGAATGTTTTCTATCTGTCATCCAACAAAATTGAAACAGACATCTGAATTAGTCTATGGAAAACATTTATATATTTGTTGTCACGGCGATAAACAACGTTGCCGTAGTAAAGGGATTAGACCACAATAGCATCATATGTCATTAAATTGTCCGCCTACATTTCGACTTTTCAACACCAACACACAAGCAAAAATCAGTATTCTAAATTTTCATCATAATCATAAACTAGATCATCAAATTTGAAATACTATCCTAGAAATCGTTGTTTAGAGAATGAAACCATAACGGGTGGGCCATAAAGAATGACTCTCTCAGTATTTTGCTTATAACTTGGTTTGAATTTGTTTCCGAGACTCGATGTCTTTTTTAAAAGATGCGCTGCGAAATTCTCTACAAGATCATACCTAAACTATAATTTC